TTTGCATCGAAAGAAACTTAAAGGCAAAGTTCGGGATTTCTGGCGAAATTTAGGTTTTCCCGTCAAATATGCAGCAGTACGCAAGGGCAGACCATGTGCAGAAGTGGCGGGGCGATTTGACAAGGTTTAGGCGCTAGGAGCCTAGGTTGGAGCATTGGCGCCGCCCCAACCCCATTGAGCCCGCCCACTGTTCCACGCGACCTTCCAAACAACCACATGGAACACTAGATGTAGCAGTTTTGTTTCGAATAACTTCATCAAAGCCTATGATACGACCTTTTACGAGAATAGTTATTTATTTAATTTGGCACTATTTACCCTTTACTGCCCCACTCCTCGAGAACTGAGCCGGATTTTTATCGAAATTGGTCCATGACTGTGGATTTGGCTAGAAACTTGCCTTCAGGGGTAATTCGACCCGTAGAACACGAATATCACATTTGTTTACCGCTAGAACGCCTGGCGCTCGCGCCAGAAGCGCCGGCGCCAAAAGGCGCCAGAACATCTCGGATCCCCAAATTCGCTGGAAAGTTGTCCTCAGAGGTATTTTGACCCGTAGAACATGAATATCACATCGGTTCGTTACGAGTGAGTCCTGTAGCTTGTGCTACGAGCACCCGCGCACATCGGTTGTGATGGCGGCGTTTTCGCGCTAAACCGGTATGATATTCGTGTTCTACGGGTCAAATTACCCCTGAAGGCAAGTTTCTAGCCAAATCCACAGTCATGGACCAATTTCGATAAAAATCCGGCTCAGTTCTCGAGGAGTGGGGCAGTAAAGGGTAAATAGTGCCGTATTTGTATTCAAAAGCTAAAAAGGTGGATTGATAACATGGACGAGGCAAAAGCGGCTTTTGCTGACCTTTCCAGGCTTTACGCATACGGATTGGAGATTAATATTCCTTGATCAGGAGACGTCCCTTATGGCTGCAGCGGCGTACAAGTCTCCAGTCGGCACATTCTGACGGCTGCTCACTGTGTTTTAGACATGATAGAAGATGCAGAACGAAATCGTATTTGTGAAGAAGTCAAGCCTGAAGATAGGTAAACATTATCATTGACAATACTGTGTGAACGTTAACGTCTTTGAGCGTTGTTGATTATCAGGAGCCCTGAATTTCCTTCACGAATTATAAGAGCTAAGGTGCCTCCAGAAAACTTTACGTTCTACGCCAGTAGCTCGTGCGGCAATTACCCACTCAAGTGCGAAGACGATGGAATTAAATTCAAAATAACGAAGCCTGTGAGTGAAAATAAAAGCAAATAAGTGATTTCGTGTAAATGATGTTAATTCAGCCTCGAACCCATGAAGAATTTGAACCATGCAACTTGATTAACGATCTGGCGCTTGTTGAACTTGACCAAGACATTCGATCCACATTGGGCTCACCGATCTGTATGATAGAAAAGGAAGAGCATTTGGCAGAGGAGTTGACAGGAATTGGATACGGAAGAGATCGTAAGTTTGATGCACATCGCCAACCCGTTTGCGGTGTGCGCCTTGCATCCGACCTTCTTTCAGAATCGTGCTATATTTAAATTAATACTCTTGCATAGCACTAGTTGGTAGCTCAGTTTGTCGCTCTAGTCGATTGTATTTCTGTTCATAAACAAAAAGGCTCGGGTATAGCAATGGTAGTGAAGGAAAATGAACAAATCACTGAGCTCGCAAGGTGAGCTATCAATGGTTTGCAATGGCAAGATTGTGATTGTGATGACCACTGCGGGTAAATAGACACCCACATGTCCGATAATTCCGCACAGTGCTGCAGTAGCAGCTGAGGAACAAGGGGAGAGTGAAATGGTGGAGGGAAGGGAGCCAGTTGCTAGTAAAACTACGGTCAAAATCACTGTGAGTTAGGATTTTAGCGTGATTGAGATAAGGCCCGTCACCAACAGGACATGTCTGCTGTAGCCGCCCCTAAACATTGTAAAGCGCATTCCGCAGTTGTGGGGTATGGTTAGTAGGTAGGTATTATATTTATTATAGTATATCCACTGTAGGTATTATAGGTGTGCTTGTGATAATGAGATCACCAAGCCTCGCGCGGCAACCTGAACACACAGCCCATTTCCGCATTCGTCGAACACGAATATTGTACGACTCTAAGTCGAAGAATGTAGAGGAAAGGGTAGCAAATGTTGAGGCCATCCCAAAGTGTGGTGGCGCCATAATAAGTGAATCACTCTAGACATTTTTCCAATTTTGATTTTTTTTATCTTTTTTTTTCTAATCGCGCCTTTCCTCTCTTGCATAAGCTATTGATCGAAAAAAGATCGAAAGTCGGGTTTGAGGTCATGCCACTTAAGATGAGTTTCTTCCTGCAGAAGAGTGCTGTAACTCAGACTAAGTTGTCTTTCACCGGAGGATAGGCTGACACGCGGAGCTGAAGAACTAGCTAAACGCTCTCCAGTCCCCAAAATATTTTCTTAAAAACATTCTCCCGCAGTATGGGTCGAGAGTGTTATGAGAAACGGATTGGTTCCTGATGCCCCATTCACGCTCAACGGAACGAACATCACCGAATGCTCCAGCTACGTGTACCTAGGTCGGGAAATCAATATGATGAACGATCTAGCTCCAGAGCTGAGCAGGAGGAAACGAGCGGCTTGGGGAGCGTATAAGAACATCGAGGGAGTAGTGAAGAAGACGAAGATCATCGGCTCCGTGCCCACCTCTTCGATTCCGCTGTCCTTCCTGCCCTAACCTACGCCTCAGAGACTTGGACTCTGCGCAGGCAGGACGAGCATGCGGTCAGCGTTATCCAACGCGCTGTCGAGAGGACGATGCTAGGAGTAACCCTATACACGCAAGTGCAGAGGGGAATCCGGAGTGCCGAACTACGCCAACGATCGAAGATCAGGGACGCTGCCGTTTTCGCCAAGGAATCGAAGATAAGGTGGGCCGGACACGTCATGCGATTTTGCGATGACCGTTGGACCAGAGCGGTTACCGACTGGATCCCTCGGGACGTCAAACGAACACCTGGACGACCGCCGGCCCGATGGTCAGACTTCTTCACGAAAGCTCTGAACGAAAGGAATGAAGGACATCGTGTCCCTCGAGCGAGGAGGGTCCACTGGACAACTCTTGCACGCGACAGGGACGAATGGAGACGTTGCTGGCGCCCGCTCGAGCAATTCGATGATCAACGGGACGACAGGTGACAGGTGATGGAGTCGAAGAAACCCTGGGAAAACCAGACTTTGTCTTGCTTTACCTTCAGATTGAACACGTTGAAATTATGCTGTAGACCTTTGCCTTATGCAGTGACCCTAGTATTACTGGGTGGCGGTTCCCAGCGCAAGGTCCCTTTCGTTCTCGTACGCATCAATCGTCGAAGTGTCGGACAAGGAGAGTTGGCGCTTTGCGTCCGAACTCACCAAATCTCCAACTAGGCTAACTGCCCTCTTGAGTAATTTGCTAGCACACTTCCTTCACAGCACTGGTGAACAAGCAGGATGATTATGAAAGGAACATTTCACATAGTATTTGACGATTCCTGAGCTTCATTGAATAAGTCTTCTGTGTAGCAGATTGAAGAGAAGCTCATTTAACATTTATTTCGACAACGTTTCGGGTTTATAAACCCTTCTTCAGGTCTCTCTAAACTATATACATACATATGTACACATAGAAACTCTTAGGGGAATCCTAGTCAAGGACTGACCTTGGAACGGAGGGGAGTTGGGACGATGTTCGGGTCCTGCGAGCTCAACGGGTTGCTGGAAATAGACGTTGAATGGTCAGGAAAGGGAGCTGCAACAACGACTCACCTCCCTCGCTGTCCACTTCGTTAGAAATGGAGCAGTTCGGTCGGTGATGCAGTGCTATGGGGTGACAATAAGATACACACTACTTCTTGCCAGTTGTCACGTAGCATCAGTCCTGCCATCATTCCGCAACCATCCTTTCTTATCACTATCCAAGAATGACTTCCATTGTTCTTCTGAGCTCCTCCCTGTTGTTGATGGGTGGATTCCTCCTCCGAATCTCTAGTGCTTCCTTGATTTTCCTCTCCACCGGGTCACTTATATTCCTGTGGATCACGCGCACCTTGATTTCAGGAGCGCGTTCATTCGTATGACGCAAGGAACGGTGCCTCGAGAAGGGATTCTCCGGATAACTGGAAGGGTTCCGGAGGGCCCTTAGGTGTTCGTCTAGCCTTTTGTAGAGTGGTCGTCCGCTTTCTCCAATGTAGAATTCCGAGCAGGACGCGCACTCTACTTCGTGAACAGTGTTCTTTTTCGTTCCTCCTGGCAATATGCACAGTTTTCGTGTCTGCATCGAGATCTATGCGAGACATAACTCTGTCCGAGGCGGTTTTATCAGATTTGTCAACATACAACATAACCACGATAAGCCGCTACAAGCAAGAATGCAACAAACTCGAAGAAGTGATAAGGAGGATTCTACGTCCAAAGTTAGAAAAACACACTCTGGCTCGTCTTCTTCCCAAGTATACGTGCATACCCACGTATTATCAGCTTGTGAAAACTCACAAGTTGGAATTTTCCGAAGAAGGAGAAGTCATGAGCGACAACGATATCAAAACGAGACCGATTGTATCCTCTTGCGGAGGCCCAACGGACGCGATTAGCTGGTTCTTACAGCACATGTTGTCACCACTGCTCAATCACGTACCTGCGCATCTCAAGAACGTTGATCCTTTCTGAATAGCTTGCGAGAAACAACAATTCCAAACGGTTCTGGAACATCATATCAAAGTTTTGACGTATCTGCGTTATACACCAACGTAGATGCAAGGATGGCCATCGAAGCGTGCATAAGCCTTTTAAGACAACACCGAAACAGTTGTCAGCTTTACGGACTGTCTGTATCCGAGATCGAAGAGCTTCTGATAAATGTTGTCAAGTTCAACGTTTTCCGTTTTCGAAACAACGTTTATATGCAGACACGAGGATTAGCAATGGGCAGCCGTATTGCACCGCTTCTGGCGATAGTATTCATGGACCGCTTGGAAAGACGTTTCCTATCATCGGGATTGCTGTTCTACGGTCGTTACATAGACGATATATTCGTTGTTGCCAAGTCCAGAACAGCACTACGTCGAACCTTCACGAGGCTGAATTCAGCGCATCCGAATATAACACTGACTACTGAGGATCCTGAACAGGATGGTTTCCTTCCGTTCTTGAACACAAAAGTGAAACTATCCGGAGGTCATATACTCTCCATGTGGCATAAAAAATCTGCTTCGAAGAACATACTTATTCATGCGAGAAGCTGCCACCCTCTTTTTATGAAGAGGAATGTTGTTCAGAATGCCTTGGGAACAGCTCGAAGGTTGACGTCCACTAATATTCCTGAAGTGATGGAGAAGATGGCGAGCATACTCCTCGACAATGGCTACGGAAACGGACAAGTGCATTGTTGGCGTCCATACCAGGCTCCAGGAGGCATCCCACTGATAGTTCCTTACATGTCCGACTCCTTTGCGAGAGATGTAAACCGCGTGATAAGGACATCTGGGATGCCAATCCGCCTGATATTTCGTCCACCGCCAACACTGCGCCGCCTTCTTACATCGTCGCGATTGTACGAGG